AAATACTGTTCCATCAAACTTTTAGTTTTAAAGTGATCTGAGCCCTAAAAGTTTTGACTAGATGGGTTGAGAAATTCACATCCTTCAACTATGCATCTCTCTTGTTACGTAAAGCTCTCAAGGCCTCAAATCATGTTTTCTTATCCTATTTTATTCACCTCCACCCCCCCCACCCCCCAGCATGATACCCTCAACCTTTCTTGCTCCTGTTAACATGCTATCCTCTGTCAGGATAAGCTGCTTAACATTCAAGTGTTAAATTACAAGTTTCCAGTGTTATTCACAGAGAAGAAAAGTACTGGATTATACTGCAATTACCATAGAATACTATTATCACATAAGCTTGTTCTCCTTAGCTATTGTGCACTTTGATAAAGGTCAGTGCTTGTTTTCTTCATTTCATTACTGAGAAAGCCTATCTTAATATTAATAAGTGAGCAATAAAGAAATACTGCATAAGTGTTGAGATGTAATTTGGAGAAATTCAGTAAAAGGCTTTTAAAACAGATTCACTGGTCTCCTTGCTTCAGTGAAGATGACCTTGTAGTTTTTTAGTGGATTGCAGTACTGCTGATGGAATCAGATGACTAGCAGGTGATTACAGAGATCTTAAATCTTTTCTGTTTAACAGAGGAACTGAATCACAGCATGATATATTTGTAACATAGGAGTATTTTAAAGGAGAGAGAAGAATTTTGTATTATAAGTAGCTTATGTTGCATGTCTGAGAATATAGGCACTTCTGCATAGGTTTTTGACTTAGCCTTTTTCAAGAAATTAACAAGCTCTATTTGAGCATTCAAAGGGAAAATGTTTTGTCTTGTTTATATTTGATAGATTTGTGTATATAGTCTGGATACATAAAGTGGTTGCCAGTATGTTGATCCTTTCTAGAATATCTCCCCCTGGAATGTTCATGTTGTATGGTGTGATTCTATCCATGCTTACTTGGAAGTAGAGTCCTCTGTTCAGTGTGGTTTACTCTTGTGTAGGTGGGCAAAGGATTTCACTTTTGACCTCTTTATGTGCTGTTTTTCTGTGTACTAATCCAGCTTACATAAAACACAGTAAAACTACTTAACTCTTCTTAAAACTGCAGTGATCTCCTCTTTAAACATGTAACAGCCTGCAAGTGAATCACTGCATAAAAATGCTATAGTTCTCAAATCTTATCCAAAATTCTACAAGTAGGAAATGCAAATACTGCATGTCCCTGATAAGCAGAATTAATTATGTGAACAGAATTGTATACATTTTGATGGATCTGACTCCAGTTTTGGAAGTAAACCCTATTCAAGATCTGCAAAAGAAGCAACAGTCACATCTAGATTGTGCTGACCAAGGTACGATGGATGGTTCTGTTGGTGGAATAATGCACTGATGATATAACAGAGGTGAAGCCAGTGGGCTATCAGCAGGCAAGATAGCTAGAATGCTGTTCCAAAAGGAAAGGCAGGAACCTCTGAAGAGGAGATGAAAGCTCTTCTGGGCTAAGTCCTTTAGTTTTAAAGATGTTTAACAGACTTGGGTCAGGATCTGAAGAGCTACTTTTAGACTAGTCCAAGAACTTGCTCAGCCCGTTTGATATTTATCTTTGGAGGGAAGATTCCCCTCATAAATGTTTTTGCAACACCTGTTAGGGTGGAGCTACACAATGTTTTAATTGTTCTGTTTCTCAGGGCTGTGGTTTTCTTTGTTCATGATTTAGTTTTTCACATATTTCTTTGTTAAAAGTGTGGTATAAATGTCTACATAAACATGGGATATGCTGTCAAAAACAAACTTCTGGTTTTCTCTGTTTGTATAACTCATAGCAAATTTATTTCATGTCCTAACATACCGCATTTCCCTTTCCCACTTATCTCAACACCCTGGAACTCTTCATCCTTGGTTGCTGCTGCTGGCAAGAGTAGGGGATTATTTATTTATATTATTACTTATATCCCTTTGTTCTCTAACAAGCTCAATGTGATATATGTATTTTCTCCCCCACTTTATCTTCCATGTAGAGTAGGTTAGCCTGAGAGATAGTTACTAATTCAAGGAGCTTCATGACTGAGTGAGAATTTGAAGCTGTACTTTCAGTTCTAGCCTACCAAACTAATTATAACACCACACAGTGCAATGCGATGATGTGTCAGGGCACAGGATAAGTTTTGGCCTTGACAATTGTTTCCTTTGCTATAGGACCTTCTTCCTTTGCTGAGAGAAAAGGAAGTAATAGACTTTTCTTTCTCTGCTTACTTGTCATTTTGAAGTAATATGTATCCTTCTGCCCATTCATTTGACTGTGGATGTGAGGGAATGCTAAACCTCAGCATCTTTCATTACTGTTGGCCATGGTATCACCCTGTCTGAGATGGGACTGGGAGGCACTGTTATACAGTGGCTCTGGTCCTTCTTGGAGGGGCAGTTTCAAGAGAGAGCAGTGAGAATTCTTGATCAATGCTATGGCTGTTGGCCTGTGGCCCTTATTCCGAATGGACTGAATTAGGGTGAACAAATTTAAGTTTAGTCCAGAAAAGACTGAGGCTCCTGTTCAGTCAAAACGTGAATCAGAAAGTAGAGATTCAACCCGTGTTAGATGGACTTCCATTCCTCTGAAGTCTCAGGCTTACTGACTGGTTATACTCCTGCACTTGGCTTTGAACCTGGATCTCCAACTTTTGGTAGTATGCTTGCACAGTTGGGGCTTGTGAACTAATGGCACCCATTCCTAGAGAAGTCTGATCTGGCTGTCATGCCTTGGCTGCATCCTTTCTGAATTATTGTAATATGCTGTTTGTGGGGCTGCCTTTGAAAACTATTTAGAAACGTCAGCTGTGGACTGTTGTCTGGGAATGCGTTTAGGGATGATGTGATTCCTTTCTTACAAGTTTCTCTGGTTTTTGGCCTGTTTGGGGGAATACTTCAACATGACCTTTAGGACTTAGACAGTCTTCTCCCACATGAGCCTGCCTGGGTTTTAAGATCTTCAGGGAAGGCCCTTCTTTCAGTATTGCTGAACGGTGATGCAGTACTTGCAGTGGTTAAATGTTGATGCAAGAGACAACAGAGAACCTTCTTATGAAATTCTTTTGGGGAAGATATGATGTTTGAATTTGAGGAAAACGTGTTGCTGATTGTAGCAAGAGAAAGACAGAACTAGGCATGTTATTGCTGGTGTCAATAATACGGTTTCACAGATTTGTAAATTGGGAAATAAGAGTCTAAATATAAGTTATTGTGCATTTGTAACTTATCCAATAAATCAGTTAATTGAGATCCATGACTCATGGATTGGTCCTGCTCTTTGTTTTCTCTGTGGTATTACCAAAAACCTATCCTTATTTAGCATCTTAGTGATAGATATTCTCTCTCATCCTCTCTGTCTATAACAAACAGGAAAGAATCAATATGGCGCACAGAGCTTCTGAGATTGCTTGCATGAGGAGATTAGACCCAGAGGACCCTCTAATTGTATTTTGACTCCTTTGAGTTGAGGCAAAGATAGTATTCCTGGCTTCTGTTAAAAATAGTTGTTGATCTGTGTTGCAAATATTTTAAGTAGATGGGTTGTAAATGTTTAAAATTTCTAGTTTAAGCTTTCTCTTCTTTAATGTTTTACAAATGGGTTTTCCAGTAATCAGTAAACTGTAACTTCACTTGCTTAGCAAGGTATTCATGACATTCTTTCTCTGATTGTCTTCACATTCTTGCTGAATCACTCCTGGGAATAAACCACAGTAGGTTAGTTGATCATGGAACAATCCACAGTGCATTCAACAGACTATTAGGCTTATTATGGGTTGTTCACCCTTCTTGCCCCTTCCAGCTGGCAGCCAAGCGTCTTACCTTGCAGACCCTTCTTGTCTCCCTTTTCTACACTGAGCGCTACTCTTTAAAAGTTTTTTTAAACCTCATAAAGGTGCATTTGGGAACTTTTTCAGTTCTTTTCTGGCTACAAAAAACTGTGGAGAAGAAAGTCTGAAGAGGGGGTTTGCCCAAGGTCTGGAGTGTGAGTTCTTGTTTATAAAACACAGTTTACAGGGAGCCTGCATTATGCCTTCATCATACCAAATAGAGGCATATATTGAGAAGGTCTTCTGGCAAATAAGAATTTAGTTGAGTGTTGCTTAGGGCAGATTTCACCTTGCTTCATTTTTAGAAGATGCTAAATGTAGGTTATGTAAAAATGCTGTAATATGCCACTTAAAATAATCTCTCTGTACAGTGATGATCTTTCCTTTTGTGGTTTCTAAGTGTATCAGTACACTGATACCTTATGGCAGTGGTGGCGAACCTATGGCACACGTGCCGCAGCAGGCACACCGAGCCCCCTCTGTCGGCCCGCAAGCCAAGTCCCCCCAGCATCGCCCCAGCAGCCGAGCAATGGATAACAGTGCACATAGGGGCCATGCGCATGCTCGGAAAGGAGTAGTGGTGCCAGGTGATGATGTCACAAGCTGCGACTCATTAGCTGCGACTCGTCCGAGCTTTTGCATGGCTGGTCAGCACGCTGCCAAGGGTGTGTGTGTGTGCGTGCATGTGTGCATGCGCGTATGCTTGGACTGGCTGTGAGTTTTAATACATTCATTATTATTAACACAAGATTTTAGCCTTGAGTTTTCTTACGAAAAATTGAAATTTAATATCTAAGATTTAGCAAAGAGATGTTCTAATTACGAGACTGAGATTCTTTTAATGTTGTACTGTCCCCCTGGCATATTTGAATCTGCAGTGTTGGCACTTTGCAATAAATTAGTGGGTTTTGGGTTGCAGTTTGGGCACTCAGTCTCTAAAAGGTTCGCCATCACTGCCTTAGGGCATGGACCGACGGATGCATGTTTCCCTGTGGTTATATAGGATGAAGGATTTTCCCATTTTTATGCATAATAATTAAAATTTGGAATTAATGTGGAACAATAAATTTTTCAACAGGACACTTTTAGGAAGTAATAGCTAAGAGTGTTTGGTAATTAGGAACCTCATATTTTTTGTTTGTTTTGGTTTTCTTTCAGGGGACTGAAAATGTGCCAAAAACAATGCTAGGATTACAATGGGAAGTGTCACACTTCGCTATTTCTGCTATGGCTGTCTCTTCACATCTGTGACCTGGACACTTCTGCTCTTTATTTATTTCAATTTCAGCGAAGAGACCCAGTCTTTCAAGAATGTGCCCATCAAGGGGCTGGAACCTCAGAAGCCATTTCCCAAAAGATTCTATCCCCGTTTTGTCCATGGGCCAGTACATTTGCCTGACTCTCAGAATAGATATGGAAAGATCAGGAATCCATTGGGAAATGCTGCACAAGATCCCATCAAGAGTGAGACTGAACTTTCTCCGGAAATGGGTAAGTCTGAGCTGTACCACGTTATATTGTTATGGGCAGTCATATTGTGAGAATTATAAAAGAGGCACCTCATTTTCTTAAGCAGTTACAAACAGGAAGCAATGGCAACACCATGTTAGAAAATTCTGCTCTTGATACTCAGGGACTTGCCTGGATTAGTAAGTGTCAGACACTTGTTTAAAAATTGGCAGAATATATTTCTAATGAAAAATGCAGAAGGAATTGAATTAGACCTGTTGCTTCAGTGAAATACAGGGTGGCACAGGGAAACGGGAAATTTTGGAACTAGGAGTTGGCAACCATGGGGCGTTGGCGATGGTTTGGAACCAGTGCATCCTCAGTTAAATCCCCTTGCCATTAGTTATAATGGAGCAGTGCAGTGGTGTGGAACAAGCGTTCGCTGCAAAAGCCTTTTATGAGAATGGTGATAATGTGACTGCTGCACAAAGGGAGTTTTGGCGGCATTACCAGTCAGGACATCATGACTGTGTCCCATATGATCATGCAATTACAACATGGCTGTGCAGTTTCAAAGAAACAGGTTCAGCCTTAAAAGAGAAGTCCCCAGGTGGTGTCAACGGTTACATTCCGTGGCCTCCAAGATCCCCAGATCTCACCGTCTTATGATTTTTTTCTGTGGGGACATCTTGAAAGCCGAGTGTACCACACACATCCTGCAACCATTGCTGAACTAAAAAGGAGGACTGAAGAGGAAATTGCTGGCATTCCTCTTGACATGTTACGTTGAGCAATACAGAATTTCCACAACAGGCTGTCAGAATGTGTATGGAGAAATGGACAACACCATCATGGTATCTTCAAGGCATAAAATGAATATTGATTACCATCATTAATTGCATATCCTGTACAATACATTTCATCATAAAATGTATTTTGTAATGTGTTTATTTGTGCATTGGGTGTCAATTGAAAAGTTCCTGTTTCCCTGTGCCACCCTGTATTAGATCTGAAGCCATTTGTTGTCTTAGCTTAGGGAAATAGCAAGTATGTTGGGCTGTTTGTCAATTACAAATTATTGTCTGATAAGGTAATTCTATTTTATTTCTGTATGGTCTGGGGGGAAAAACTCAGCAAAGCAATATTGCTTCTTCCATTTTAAGTGTTATTCTAAGAACTTGTGGCTGTTCTTTGGTGTGAAACATATTTGTTAGAAACAGCTTAGATCTAGACCCTGGCTTTGAGAGAACCTTTTCTGTAATGGAGAAGAAACTAGTCTCAGATGGTTCATCAGAACGGGACTTGGAAGACCCACAATTTCTGAGAACTCAAAGATTCTGCTGAAGGAAGTACTTCACATAGCACATAGTTAAATTATGGAATCCGGTACCACAAAATATACTGATAGATCTTTTCAACCCACCCAGGTTGGTAGCTATCAGTCTATGGAGGATCAGGCTATGAAAGCCTAATTGTGATGGGTATATAGTCCCTCTGCTAGAAATAGTGTCAGGGATGCAGAGCGATTTTCATCTCAAATTCAAATTCCATCTTTGAGCAGTTGAACTTGCAGGGTTGCATTCCAGTGGTTGGCAGGGCTAAAATAAAGTGGATAGTGCCAAAGGGGTAGGACAAAAGATAACCAAATATTTTAACTTAATTCTCTGATCACCAGCAACTAAGCCTTAGGAGAGGCATTTCATCCTTTCAGTAAGGCAAGAAACTAAGTAAAAGTAAGGAAAACAGCTAAACTTTGCTGATTAGAAGAAAGCAGTGGGTACATGGGAAAGGGCATGGATATCTGAGGAACTCAGGAAGACTGGACTTAGACCTTGGGTCTGAGATTCTGCACCCTACTCTCAATGGATGAATTGCAGTCTGCTAGTTGTAACTATTGGGAAAATTGAGCTTATATAACCCACAAATCACATGCAATTTCAGATGCAGAAAGGAGAAGAGAGATGGGGGATAGAGCAGGAAGGAGAGTTCAGAGTCCTTTCTCTAGTTGCAGTTCCTTTTTTAGATAATAGAGTGTCCACTGCGAGAGCACATTCTTCACGAAGTCCCAGGTTCAGTCTTTGCAGTCTAAAGTTTCATAGCAAGGCATAGAAGTCTTTGCAGAGCTGCTGGCAATCAGAGTAGATGACAGTGAGCGAGACAGACAGTGAGCCAGCTCTGTTAAGCAGCTTTGTATGTTCATTTCTCTTTAATTCATGGGTTCTTACTAGCATTCCAAGAATTCCAGCTTTTGCTAAAGGTTCTTGTCCTCATGGGTGCAGTTTTACCCTTGCAAATACAACTGAAAACATAATAAAGAATTATAATTCGTTGTATGATGCTTGCTAAAACTATGTACTATGAGTTCCCCCAAAGAATGATTTTTTTCCTATTCATGTTGAGAGAGAGAGAGAGATAGAAAATGAGCCAGCAGTTGTCGTTTGAATATGTGTGAAGACAAATAATACAAAGACATAAATAATACAAGTTTCATTTTCCTGACGTGTGTTTTAATGTTAGTATTCCCTTAGTTATGAATAAGTTGCACTTTTCTTCTTTGACTTATAATAAGTAACAGCTGGTGGCAAGTTGACAAGTGTGATGATCCATCTGTGAAGGGATTTCCTACACAACTGGAATGCTAAGAAGCAGTGAGTTTAAAAACATATATACTGAGATGCATTCATTTATTAACTTCCACACATTTGCTTATAAGTAAAACATAGGGAATGGACAGCCCAGTCAATTGATGAATGGTATTCAGAGGTTTGGGAAATTGCCTATATGGTTAAATACACTTTAGTGAGGATTAGAGAGGTAGATAACAGACACTGGAAGATGAAGTTTGTACATAATGCACTGGATTGATAAGGTTTGAGACAAATTTCAGCCATTTATACATTCAGATTCAGGAGAAATTTCAGTCCCATGTGCTGTTAGGACTAGTAGGATTTTTTTTTTTTGAAAAATTTAATTAAGGAAAGTTTTTTTTGACATACTGTCTTATCTCTTTGTTGTAAATGTTTAAACTCTTAAAATAAAATACACAGTGCTGTGCGTTTTCCATGGTCCGTAATGTCATTTCTCCCTCACCAGAGTGTGAAGTCTTTGCATATGATCCTCCAGTCTGCCATATGGACAGCTTAGGATGTTGCATGGTTTTTACAGACTGAGTGTGCAGAACGAACACATTTGATGACTACCATCCTCAGTTTCTTATGCAGCTATATAATTGAGTCCTACTTGTGTTAATTCTTCCTAGCTTTGCAAAATGCTTGTTTCCTTCATTTGTTTGCTTTCCTGCTTTCCCCTACCCACAACAATTCTTGTGTACTTCCATGTGAATCCGCATTCCAACTCATTTGTTTGGCTTTCTGAGACAGGAAAAGACAGCTGCAGTAGGACCACAGTCTAGGATGCTTACAAGCCTTGCTACTCATTCCTTAACAACAGTGGATAAACAGTCCTATCCAGCATTGACAGCTCTAGATTAGCCTTTTGAAAGGAGCATTGTAGAGGAAGTTCATTTTAGTGATACATCCTTAGGGGTTAATTTGAGAACTTGATAATTGGCAATAGACACCTAAGACTTGGTGCATTGATCTTGGTGTATTCTCTGTTTCAGGTATGATTTTTAATGAAGTAGACCAAGAAGTTAGAGACTTGGGTTATCAAAAGCATGCCTTCAATATACTCATCAGTAACCGGCTGGGATATCACAGAGATGTGCCAGACACAAGGGATGCAAAGTATGTTTCTCCATGTTCTCCATAAAGTAAATGTTTCATTTTAGAGCCCCGTGTTCTTCTTTGTGGTCTCGGTGCATCACATGTATGGGCTTTGTGCCTGTGCAGAGCCTTGAATCAAGAGGAAAGCTTCTGTGGCTGGACAGTCACTTCTGGGTGGGAGCCCCTCCCTTTCCTGTTCCCAGGAGGCTGTGGGAGGGGTTTCTGCCCATCTCCTCAGTTCCTTTTCATCGGGAAATGATTTCTTTCTCTCACTCACCTTAGGTACTAGCATTCTTTTTGTGCTCCTTCTTTTTCTTAAACCTCTCTTATCTGCAGCACTCTTTCCTGTTTTTTCCTTTTCGTGCTTTCTCAAAAATGAAGAAAAAGTTTTTGTCCCATTTTGCTCTTCTATTAACTGCTCTTTCTCCCATCTGAGTTGCTATTCTCTCCTCTTCCCCCTGCCCCACAAGCTACCAAATTGCAGAATATTTTCACAGGCAGAATGTGAGTGGAAAGAGAACCTGTTCATGGCAAGAATTCCTGGTGATAAGGCCATAGCAGATAAGACTAATTGTGAAAGTATTACCAAAAGTTCTTAATTATAGTTAAATACAATGCAGGTGTCATGATCTGCAGAGCATGATGCCCGCCTCTTGTACCACGCAAGCACTTGCAGGACGGGTGTCCGGCCTGTGGTGCTTGCAGGGGTTTGAGCTACCACAATCCTAGGAAGCCGCTGGGAGTCACAGAAGGAGCTGTCCCAGGTTACTCAGCTCTGTCTAGTCTTGCCACAGGAAAGGATCAGACCAAAGGTCCATCTCGTCCAGCATTACAGTGGCAAAAGAGCGGAGCACAGGTTCCCTCAAGCAGGGCGTGGGCAAGACCTCCACCTGCCTAAGCTCCTCAGAAGCTGGGATGTGCAGTCCCACTTGAGAGCCATCCAAATTGGTGGCCATCACCACTTCCCATGGCATCAAGTTCCATATTTTAACTATATGTTGTGTGAAGAGATAATGTCTACATTCTAAATCTCCTACCAAACAGCTTTGTGGGGTGCTCCTACGCCCATGCTGGCTTTCTGCTTCCATAACTGGTTTAATTGGCATGAGTGGATTTGTTCATCTGAAAAACCAAGGGGATTTTGGCTTTTATTCTGTTCCTTTGTTTATTCTACTGGGAGAGGGGTGTGGATCTACTTTTCAGCAGTTTCTTGCACTTTACCTCCTGACTAGAGAAGGGAGCAGACTCCCATGGCCTGGCCTCCTTGCCCTGTTGCCCAGCTCCCCTGTGGGCTTTGTCACTGGCCTGCCTTCCTTCTTATACGGCTCTATGCTCGACTGCCGCAGCAAGCAGTCTGATTGGAGGGCCTTGGGAAGAGAAAGGCAGGCTGTGACTGCACTCTTGATCTGCCCTGTCTTCCAGTGATTGGGAATGAATGAATCTAATGAATGCCAATTGTTAGTTAGTTGTCCCCTCTGGGAGTGGAGATGCCCCTGTTCACCGTAGATCACAACAGTGAATGGGTCACAAATACCACAGTTCAAATCTTCAGGTGGCTGCCTCTCGTTTCCGATGTGGCAGTCAACTTTCATTTGCCTTTTGTTACTGTAATTTCTCCCAGTCCTGTGAGACCTAATCAAGAGACGAGAAACAGATTCCCCAACAAGAGGAAGCTCACCAGCAAAGAAGAAACAGATGTTTTCTTCCTTCTCGTGGAGCAATGGCAATGCCCCATAGAGACAGAAGTGCGTCTTGCTCTTATGTGTGAGAGTTGTGGTTGCTGCTTACAGCCTAGGACTGTGCTTGTCCTCATTGCACAAGAAATGCCATGACCTGATACTGTAAATGGTCTTATGTAAATGTATGTCACAGTTGTTGGAAAACATTTTTGGGGAGTAAATATATGAACCGTTTTATTCATTATTCTGAAAGAGAACAGAACCTACAATCACGCAAGGCAGAAAGAGAAATCTGCATCCTGTGCTAGTCAGCCACTCTTTCCAGACTGTTTTCCAGCTGCCAGTGTTTTACTGGGGATGTGGTTTCTTAAGCTCTTGGATAATGAGAATTTCTGTGGGAAAAACATGCAATAGGCATATTTCAAAAGTGATGGAGTGATTTCTGTTTTGGTATTTATCTGTAATGATTGTGAAGTATTAGCAATATATTGAGAAAGCATTTGTTATCATCCGTTTTTTGTTTTTTTAGGTGTAAGGAAAAAATCTACCCTTCTGATTTACCTTATGCCAGCATTATAATTTGCTTCTATAATGAAGCGTTTTCTGCCTTGCTTCGGACAGTGCATAGTGTTCTGGACCGCACACCATCATCTCTTCTCCATGAAATTATCTTAGTGGATGATAATAGTGAATTAGGTGAGAGACGCTTGCTGATTTGCTGTGTTAACACGTGCCCTAGCAAGTCTTGAAATCAATGTGATTTTTGCCATGGATTTCAGTGGTTCCTCTTGGGAAATCACTATGTGTCACCCCGAATGCTTTGTGAATGGACAGGAAGGGATAGTAAGCTATTTCCTAGGGAAGTTGGTGATTGACACTGGTGGTTGGAGAAAAATATAAGGGCCCCGTAGAACCTTAATAATTCACAGACCTCACAGACAGTGTATTTAAGCCTCCTCAGTAGGAAGGGACTGTTAAGGAGCTTTCCGGAGACATCTAGCTACTTGCTTCTGGAATCAGAATTATGCACTAATTGAACCTTTCTCTGAGCAAACATGGCAGTTCTTGTGTTCTTAGCCATGTTCTAAATATCGCCACTAGCTTATTATCTTCTTAATTAAAGGGTAGTTAGTGACAGGGAATTGGGTTTTTCTACTCCCCTTCACTGATGGTATTGCATAAAATAAGGAAGTTCCTACATTCTTTGGTTTTCATGAGATAACAGGCCAGATGGATTAGGTTAGTCATCCAATATTTTTCTATAATAAAATACCCCAAAAAGCTAGTTTTCTTTCTGATTGCTTGTTTGTTAAATCTTTTAAAGAGAACTCATTTAAAACATCAGTATAAACTGAATTTTGTTTTTTTTCTTTTGTTTTTACTTTTAGGTGATCTGAAGGAAGACCTGGATGTTTATCTAAAAAAGAACTTTCCAAACATTGTAAAACTAGTAAGAAATGAGAAGCGGCAAGGGCTCATTCGAGGGAGAATGATTGGCGCTTCCCATGCTACAGGTGATGTGCTCCATCTTGATAAGCTGAAGCAATTCATTTCTTTCTTTAGTACTTTTAGGTCAAGAGAATTTGGCAGATTCATGTGGAATGGAAATGACCTTCTCTGCAAGAGTCATCCAACTACCAGCCTTTGCAGGCATATGAGAAAAGGTGGTCTTGCCGATCTTAAAGTGCAGGCTGGCTGAAATGGGTACAGGCGGCCTTCAAGTGATTGGCCTTAAAGGCCAAAACCAGCCGCTTAAATTGGGCATTGAGACATACTGGTAATTAGTGCAGCTGGTTGCACTGCGTCTGTTGATCGTGGTGTCTTGGCCCCTCTAAAAGTTGATCTGCTGCATTCAATACCAGCTGGAGTGTCTAGATTATCTTCACAGGCAGCCCCATGGGACAGAGCATTACAGTAGTCCAGCCTGGATGTAAGCAGTGCTTGAATAACTGGCAGGGTCTGTCCTTTCCAGATAACACCATAGTTCATGGACCGACCTAAGTTAATACAGCACTTTCCTGAACACTGCAGCCTCCTGGGCTTCCCCAGTTAGTGCAGAGGGCAGGGAAACTTGCAGACTAAGTAGGAGGAGTGCAGTCCCATTTAGCACCAGTTGTAAACCTCCATCTAGAATAGTTAGTTTCCCAGTCCACAGCCTTGTCCTTGGTTCATTTTCAGCTTGTTTACTCTCATTCACCCTAAATCAGCTTCCAGGGATGTGTAGGAGAAAACGAGAGGTAGGGTTGAGCATCAGGCTGAATGAGGATTTGTAGCCAGTTCCTGCACAATTTGTGTGTTTGGTGGCTGGTCGATGGCATTTTCAGCACAGTTGGTATAGAAAGTTAAGTGCCTGAGTCACTAGACTTTCCCCTCTTAGTACTAACAACAGGATAAAGTGAACAGTTTTCCACCGGCTGAATATAAAACCTGGATATTAGGATAAGTTGTGGAAGTTGAAGACTGTTGAAATTGTGCCTTTGTTTCAGTGCTTCAAAACCCCAAATTGTTAAGTTACCATTAAATTTTCAGAAGACTCTCTCAAATAAAGTGGGTGCAAAGCTTCACCTTAGGGGTGTGCCAAGCCTTTCTGGAATTTGGTTCCATCCTGCCCTTTGGACTTCTCCTGGTGCTTGTCCCTTTCTAAGGAAGTGCGTCTGAGCCTGGAAGTCTTAGAGCATTTACGGATCCCCCAGTTGGGTAACCAGGAACCTCCCAAAGATGCCATTCCTAGCAGCCTACCTTCTTTTCCAGTTGCTGCTGCCAGTGATGTGGCAACACAGGGTGAAAAGGGGTGCAGGGAGTGGGGTGGGTGTGCTTGCCGCCATTCTCAGTGGCCAGCCTTCTTTCCTGCTCGCTGCTGCTGGTGGCAGCTGTGGGCATGGAAGGATGACGCTGCTAGCGGCATGTGAGCTTGATTCCTGGCAAGAGCCAGCAACCCGGGAGGTGCTCACCAGGAATTTGGACCCCGGGCCGCTGGAAGGCAGACTGGATTCTGGAAAGCTAAAAGTAGGGCACAGAGTGGGTTTTCCACCCAAAGTAAGTAGATTCCTACTTTACATTGCAATTTCTCCCACCCACTGAAGTGAATTTTCCTGCTTCCTGCTGTAATATAGCATCTTTAGAAATAAGTTCATGGAAGCTACTAGCCTACATGGCTTTATTTTGAACAGAAAGGTGTGTTCACTGGAACCAGTTACTGCAGAAAGTGGTCCTACCATCCTAGTCATCGGCAGCTGCGTCACTGCAATGGGCAGGCACTAGAGGGGAAGGGGGAGGCAGGTGACCACTCTCAGTGTGCATCAAAGGCTTCTGTATACCTGTGTACCAGTTCTAGTTGCCTAAGGTTTCTGGGAAGTGCTTTAATACATGGCTTGTTTGGGGTGGGGGGGATATTATGGAAGTGCAGAATATTGAGATTAAGATTCTGTCTTTGATGCCTTTTGTGTTTATTAGCATTCTGTGCCTGATGTGCGTTTACTTTTCCAGGAAAGGTACTTGTGTTTTTGGATAGTCACTGTGAGGTTAATGAGTTGTGGCTGCAACCTTTGCTGGCACCCATCCAGGAATCACGCCAAACAGTGGTTTGCCCCGTCATTGATATAATCAGCGCTGACACACTTGCCTACAGCTCTTCCCCGGTGGTCCGTGGAGGGTTCAACTGGGGACTGCACTTTAAATGGGACCTTGTTCCTCTGTCGGAGCTGGAAGGCTCTGAGGGAGCCACTGCTCCAATCAAGTAAGAGTTCTGTTGGGTATTGAGAGAGTTTCTCTTTTATTTACTCTGATTCATTTTAAATAAGTGGAGGGGGGCAATGCTCTGATAAAAGGTAAGCCAAATAACTGGCAAGCATGTGGTGTGAAATGGAGCCCGGCCTTCTTCAAGGGGACTGTGGGGCAACACGGACTAGGAGGCAGCATTTCCCCCGTGACTTTATGATATTTTATTGTATTTCATCATCTGTTTTTATGTACTATGTCAACCACCCAGAGAACTTCAGAAGTAGGGTGGTATAGAAATTAAATTAACAATAATAATACTGATAATTCTTTATGTGTGGATTTTCAAACTGAAAATGAGTCTGGAGGGAAGGCAAGATCAATAGAGCTTACCTTTGAAGACCTGCTCAACTTGCAGCAAGTAACGGTGGAGTGCAAGCCATGTTTGAATTATATCATTAAATAAATAATGACTATTAATGTCTGCTCCCCCCCCCCCAAGAATTCTGCTGTCATTCTGTTTCTAGTGAACCTGTTGACATGAATCTATTGATTCTAGCAAATCTATGACCATTGGAAGTGTATTAGCCCATAAAATACATTCTCTTCAGATTTGGCTAACCTTTAATTTTGCAGACTGTCCTAAGAGCACTGGATAGGTTAGTTATGTTGGGAAGAGGTGAGCCTAATTCTTAAAGCCTTAAGGCATAGTTTAAGAGAGATGCCATAAATGAGGGGAAGATGGTATTCAAGGTATTTGTGGAAAAAATGGCTGAAATGATTTCTTTCCTCATGTCGTTGCTTACATTGCTGTGGCCACAAGGACGTTTTGGGTGGCTCACAACAATAAAACAATAAACATTTAATAATTTAAAAGAATATAGTCAGTCAGGAAGTTTTTTTCACCCTTCTGAAGGTTTGGAAGAAGAAGCCCTCCAGGAAAGTACCTCCTGGAAAAAAATTCTATGGGATACGTACCACCATCATGAAGGCCCTACTTCTTCTCAACATTTTTCTTGAAACTGCAGGCAAAGGTATCTGGAAGAGTGCCTTCCCTGAAAAGTTTCAGGAAAATATGGGAGAAATTCCTGTTTCTATTCTGTTAGCCTTGTTTTTAAGTATCCTCTTAACCTAGAAAACCGCTTTCCTTCCTTTTGCTGTTGGAGTTCCACAGTGTGTGTGTGGAACCCTCACCGCCCCCCCCCCCCCCCCCCCCCCCCCAATGCATTCCCTTTCCTTCTCTGACCTTCAACAGGGCCTGGTTTAGGAGAGAATTTTCCTTCTCTTGTAGGTCGCCTACAATGGCTGGAGGCTTATTTGCTATGGACAGAGAATATTTCAATCAACTTGGACAATATGACAGTGGCATGGACATCTGGGGCGGGGAAAACCTGGAAATATCATTCCGGGTATGTATATTCTTTCGCTGACAAAAAAAATCTCTTCTTTGACAACGGAAACAGCACACTTTCTTTTTCTTATGTTTATACCTTCTCATTCTTCCTCTTGCAAAGAAGCTGAGGCCGCTTAAAAAGCTTTCCTCTTCATTTTATCCTTACAACAAAAACCCCACGAGGTAGGCTAAGGTCCACGGCTGGCTCAAAGACACCCAGCAAGCATCGTGGGTGTAGTAGGAAGTAGTGGGGAGTAGAACCTGGATCTCCCTGAGTTTGAGGTCAACCCTCCCGCCACCTTGCTACGCTATTGGAACTGCTTGAGTTATTTGTGCACAACACGGGTGTGCAGGATATTCGCACAAGTGTGCTGTAACTTTACCTAGCTTTGCAGAACAGTAGAACTCTATTTTTGCTGTTTAAGTCTTTTTTCACTGTTGTATCTGAGTTAATAATCCTGTAATTTGATGGGTCGTAATAATATTGCAAAAGTAAAGTTTGAACTGTGAAGGTCAAACATTATTCTAAAGAGTGCATGTTTTGAGAAAAGGCTGTAACCCACTGTCAGATGCTCAATATGAGACAAAATAGTTTCCCACTTGGCCTATATAAGGGTCTTGACAGGATGAATGCAATATTCTTTACAGAAAAAGCTGAAAGGATCAGGAAACCACATGATGCAATAAAGAAGTTAGGGACATAACGTTCTTGGGGCTCGTGCTACAAACAATCATGGCTTGAATTTAGGTGATCTAGTCCTGTTAATCTTACTTAAAAACCCACAGTTCTTTTAGGCTTCAGAACCCAAACTCCATAGGTTCTTTTGGGCTGTGGGCTGCTTATCATCTGAACTGGCCCACTGTGTAATGTGGCATAATCATGCTTATTCCCTTGCTTCTGCGGCACCTCACCAGCTGCCTCTTGGAGAATGGGACAACCCTGAGGCGAGAGCACAGAGCCTGGAAGGCTGGCTTCTTCATAGATGGGATCATTTGCCCCGTTAGAAAGATACAGAATCAATGAGCTGCAGAAATTGACTGCCATGAGATATCATGCCTATACTTTGAATAAAATGGGCTCATTCTGTTTCTGAGCAGATCTGGATGTGTGGGGGCAAACTTCTCATCATCCCATGCTCCAGAGTAGGACACATCTTTCGTAAAAGGCGCCCTTATGGCTCGCCAGGTGGGCAGGACACCATGGCGCACAATTCTCTACGGCTGGCCCATGTGTGGATGGATGAATATAAGGTAAGGCTGCCACGCCCCTGCAGTAATTAGTGGGTGCATCTGCGCTGGAGGGCTACAGCAAGTGGAGACGATCCAGAAATTGTGTCTGCATTCTTGAGAATCTGCTGAGGGCTTTCTGGGGAAAAGCTTTCTAGTTGCAGGCTATACTGAAGGGGTTCCATGATGATTTTATGCTGACTGCAGCAGGAACTAAAATGTGTTTGATTCCCTAGCAGCTGCAAGGCAGTGTAACTTTTTGAGTGGAAATACCCATTATGAGAGCTGTGTGACTGCCACAGAAACCTTCATTTCCACTAGCACAGTAATAAAAATTACATGCAAATGTTTAGAAAAAAATTTTTAAATGAGCAGACTGAAAAAATATGGAAAGCTGCTGTGTCTAGCTCAGTGCAAAACTGTTTTCAAGCTAGTGTTACAAGAGGAATGAGAGCAGTGCCAGTTAGTTTTCTGAGACTTGCTCAGAAGGCCTCCTCTTGCTCTTGCGGCCTCTTCCCAGGCTCTTAAAAGGGGAGGGACCATGATCCAACCAAATAGAAGCAACCTGTTGGCCTAGCAAGGCATGATCAGTCATGGCAACCCAAGGGCAGTAACAGCCAGTGCACAGCCTATAGACATGATTACGTAATGCTGAGTGTCCATGTGTGTTCAGCTATCCAAAGCCGAGAAAGTGCTCCCCACAACACCACTATTACGATGCGGTAACGGAGAGCAGAATAAGGTACCACAGACGAGTTTCCCTGCCTTGGGACCACTTCATTGTCTGAAGGCGAGCGGGGAAATCAGATTGTGGTGATGCCATGATTCCAAAGGTGAGAGGAGAGGTTGTGTAGCTGCTGCTAGAAGAAGGGGCTCACACTTCTCAAACTATAGTAATTAGGGCTGGGGAAACATGGGGGTTTGGAGATAGAGCTTAGAATTTAAAAACTAGGTTTGAAATTAAAAGGAATCAGTTGGTTTTTTCTCAGTGCTGTACATTACTGCTCTCTCAAAAATACTTACCAGATTAATTGGACCATAGTACCTGTCCTAAGCTGTAATTTTTTCTACCACCCTCATCTCTCTGTAATACAGGAGCAGTATTTTGCCCTCCGACCAGAACTAAGAACAAGGAAGTATGGAAATATTACTGACCGAGTGGAGTTGAGGAAAAAGCTGAATTGCAAGTCGTTTAAGTGGTACTTGGACAATATATACCCAGAGATGCAAGTTTCTGGCCCAAATGCTAAAGTACAGCCACCAGTCTTTTTCAATAAAGGGCAAAAACGACCTAAAACACTGCAGCGTGGAAGGGTAAGAGTTGGACCTGACTGGTCAGATTCTTTAATCTGTATTCCTAAAACATGATCTTTAAGATTATGACTTTAAATATAAGGGACTGTATTACTATATTCTAGTTGCCAATGGTGCATCCTTAAAATAAGTGCTACTCTGAATATCTGTAATTGTGCATTGTAGTTTCAACTAATTCCATCATAGTAATTCCTGTGTTAAATGCAACACAAGTTTGTTTTCTGACCGTATTTATAACAAAACCTCGAAAACAATTACAAAGGGTGCAGTCATCTACCCCCTTGCTCTCTGCTTATCTGTAGTTCTCCATCTTCCTCTGACGGGCCCCACTGGTCCAATCTTTACAGCATTTCTCAGTCTTGTAGCCTCAGAAGTCCAGTAGCTAAGCCTGGGATAGAAGCAGCTATATATGCTCTCTCTATAGTGCTGATGTGCAACCTTATTACTGGTTTCCATTTCATCACTGGATGTACTTGAGTCATGTTTTACCATAGAATAATGATTGAAATTGGAAGTGAGGTCTTTTCACCTTCATGCCAGCTTAGAATGATTAGTACTGTAAGGCTGAACAAATTCATGGTGAGGTTACAGAATAGAGCTGAAAGGACTAATGGCTGCTGGACCGAAAAGGAAGGCTGAATTAACAGTTTTTGTGGTGAAGGCAAGAGACTTGTGGGATTGTGTGGTTAAAAGGTGCTTTTAGCAAAGGTTCTCATATAAGTAAATCTTAGGACCCAAACTAAGATGTCTTGCTATAATTCTTGGAGTCAAAGCTTTCAGTAAATGCAGTTACTTTCCCCCCTTTATCTAGAAGGGAGTGTGCAGTTACAATGGCACATTTTAGCTTTGGAACTGGTCTGTGCCTCGGCTATTTCATTTTGACAGTTATGGCCACTGAGGAATAACCTCCATGCTTTAACTCAAGCACTTTTTAGCAGTTGGATCTTCATATGCACAGTGCAGAGGAAAATATTTCCCAATTATATGTACTTGGCAGGAAGAAATGGATCTTGGCCATTTTTCCTGGCAGCTTGAGAGTAGATTCTCCAGCTGCCACTTCATGGCATGGCCCAGTGCTGGAGGTGGGTCTACCTCTGTGCAGAGGGGGAGCTAGTAGCGTGCTCAGCAGCACTGCTCCGTGCTTGGGGTGGGGGGCACTTCTGAGCAGATGAGGCGCCCTCCCTCTAGAGGTTCCAGCCTACTGACACCCCAGACTCTCTGCAGCAGCGTTCCTCATGATGTCCCCAGGAGGAATGAGGGGGGCAGGAGAAGGGAGCCGAGTACCCACCATGAACTCAGTTACAGCCCACCTCTTCAAGTGGTTCTCTCTCATTTTCTCACTCAGGGTGGGTCTGCCAGGGTGAGTTGTTGCACCGTGCAAACTCAGCTGTACTCTCCCTGGTAGCATATGACATGAAGTAACAAAACAGTGTTTGAAAATTTCTCTCCTATGCAGTCATTTTCTATGACTTCAAACGTGTCCATGTTTTCCCTTTTGCAGCTGCATCATCTTCAGACAAATAAATGTCTGGTTGCTCAAGGCCACCCAAGTCTGAAAGGAGGACTTGTTGTCGTCAGAGAGTGCGACTACAATGATCAAAACCAGGCAAGTGGCCCTAAGCCAGCACGTACTTTCTGCTTGCTGTGAAGTCTCTAGTATCTTCTGCACAAAGCTGTCTCTCCATTTAGTCTTCATTGCTAAATCAGCTCTTGGTCGTGACAATGGACTCAGTGAGAGTGAGTAAACTGAAACTCAGCCCAAGCAAGGCTGAGTTGTTGTTAATGGGTGGTTCTTCAGACTGGATCCTGTTCCAAGTGGGCTTGTGCTTGCCCTGAAGGAGTAGGAACGTAGCTTGGGAGTGCTTATAGACCCATCTTTGTGGCTTGAGGCTCAGGTAGTCTCAGTGGAACTGGGTGCCTTCTGCTGGTGATTCAGTTACACTTGTTTGGCCAGGAATAACCTGCCTTCAGTAGTTTCTGCTCTGACAAATTCCCAATTAGTTTATGGAATCCAAAGGTGACCCACAAACAGGATTATAAAATCTCCGGAAAGTCAGTCATTTGATGGAACAGGGAAAACAAGGTAGACTACAGGACGGTGGGGCTGCATGGCTTCCTTGACTTTCTGGAAGCAGGGATGAAGCTAAACTTCAAGCCAAAAATTCTGAAAGGTCAGGCCTCCATTTATGGATTGAATCCATAAAGGAAGCCATACCCTTGGACGTGGAAAAGCGAAATGGAACTGTCATGGGCAGGACATTTTGAGGGCTCCCATTCATAGGATCTCTGTAAGTTGGAGAGGACTTGATAGCATGCATGTTGCACATAAGAGCCTAGCCTTCCTATACCTATTCTTTGTAGTATGGAAAATACTTGCTTTCCTAGGAAGTCCACTCCCACTTAGCCTGCAAATATGTCGAGTAGGTTCTATCCCTCCGAGGAAAAAAATGTAACCAAAAAAATGAGACAAAAAAGATGTTATAAATAGTAGTAGCCAGAACATTGTCATGGAGAATGTTGTCATATGTATGAATGAAGATTTTTTCATCTTATCAGATAACCAGAGAGGTGTATTTTTACTATACGTGACATTGACGTATACATCACTTTTAGGTATGGCTTTACAATGAAGATCATGAGTTGATCCTAAACAACCTTCTGTGCTTGGATGTGTCTGAAACTCGGACATCCGATCCACCACGCCTTATGAAATGCCATGGATCAGGAGGATCCCAGCAATGGGTGTTTGGAGTGAGTTGGGCAGGAGTGGGCAGTTTCAGTCTTTTTAGCATGATACAGTTAGGAAAATAGGTTATGGGCAACAATTCCATACTCATGTTTTTCAGTACAGCTTTTCCATCAAATGATTACTTATTCTAAATACTCAGAAGGCCATCATTCAACTGAACCAATGCAACAATTTTGGCTATAAATAGGTACTATTAAGTTTGTGACTTTGTTGATATTGTACCTAATGGGAGGAAAAAATTGACAAAAGAGAATTCTTCCAGGAAGGGGGGGGGGGGGGGGGACTCAGAGAGGATGGATGGGCTGGGAAAAACAAGGAATAGCTGTCAAAAAAAAAATAAAATAAAAATCCCAGGCCTGGTTATTTCTACATGAAATTCTGCTTTCACAGATAAAAACACTTTACACAATATCCCATGAAGTATTATCCCTATAATTAGCATCAAAAGTAGTTTCTAATCTCATCCTGTGTTGGACTTCAGTAGAAATTTATTGTAATGTTTCCAGAACAGCCCATTTGTGGAAAACACAGATCTTTCCAGTAAAATTGATGCCACTGGATCATTCCAGGATCATGATTCAAACATTATTTTCTCCTCCCTGCATATATAATTGATGGCAAAATTATGGCTGATTCTGAAAGTGGCTGATCCCTAGACAGGTGCTGATTGACTCAGTAAGATTTTAAATGAAGAATTTGAACTCTGTAAATTAACCCTAGTAAACTGTTCTCTTTAGCCCAGCAGAAAGAATATTTCTTTCTGAGTACAAGATTTGGAACTGTTTTACCTCAACTCTAGCTTGATTCTTTTCTCTCACCAGAAGAATAATCGACTCTACCAGGTGTCTGTTGGGCAGTGTATGAAGGTTGTCGACCCACTTAGCCTCAAAGGATACGTGAACATGGCAATTTGTGATGGCTCCCTTCCTCAGCAGTGGCGCTTGGAGAGCTGAGTACCAGCACAGGTCGGTCACCTCAGTCGCCCTTAGTGGAGATGAATGTGTAGGGCCGTCAATGCCAACTGCTAGTTTCAACACCAAACATTTAAAGGAAAAAAAAAATGATGGCCCAAAAGCAATCGCTGAAGTGTAAGGTTCAGGTGGAACAGAAGCTGTGGCAAGTCACATTTCCTCTGCACAAGTAGAAGTGCAATTAATGTATGTTTCTAGGAGTTCTCTGGTACATGCAAGCAATCTAAATAATGGACTGTTAGAACAGTGTAATGTAATCAGTGAAGCAATTTAACTAGGTGATTTTTCCTGTTAGAAGTCTGTCCTTTTCTGACAGTATTTCTTGATCACGTATCATGGTACTACACATTTTCATTTGAGCAAGTGATTGGATTATTTTAACTGATAAAAAAAAGTTATGTCTTATTAATGTGTGCATTTAATTTTAATTCATCAATTTTAACATATTACATACCTCAGTGACTTGCCCTGCAGTATTTGAAACTTCCATAGACTTAATTTTGGTAACTGAGGAGCATCCGGGATTACACAATTGCACGTCTGCTCATGCAGCACGGCTTCCGTGTACCCTCCTCTCTACTGCAGCGCCTTCTCTCCCACCCTGCAGAACTTCTGTGGGGGCTGCAGCAGGAGGAGATCCTTGCCAGAATACAGTGATGGAGCTGCCTTGCCTGGACAGTGGTACCTTTCCCATTCCAGCAAGGCACCTTTGGATGCCACTCATATCAAATTCGCCCTTTAAAAGGAAGCATGGTCCTGGATTGGTTGGCAGAGTCCAGTTTCAGGTGAGCAGAAACTGATCTATGCTGGAATGGCTTTAAAATTATTCTTAGGGATAAGACATACGTATGCAAATAAATTTCTGTGTCAAAATGAATTTCTGTGGACTGAAAACATTCTTTGAATAAGTTGTGTTATGCAGTTTGTTCATGCAGCACATATTTAAAATTCAGTCAGAAAAAGTTTTGGAAAGGAATTTCAGTGGTGTTGATATAAATGTCCAGTTCTCTTTAAAATCAGGTAATGTATTAAATCATGTTTTGTTAGACATGTTAACTTTTGTAGTTTAGTGGAGAGAAAATAGTTATTTATGATATAATTATCTATATTGAGATCTTTGCATTTATTTAATTGGTTATATTATTAGCAACATGCAACTGACAGTCATTTGGACCTAGAAGCTATGTTGAATGTCTCACCTCAGAAATTTAGCTCTCTTTCTGGTTACCTGTCCGAAAGGCAGCATCCTTCTGCATGGTGTGCAGCACAGTACTGGCATTTGTGGGTGTGCACTAGCTACTTTTTTCAGTTCTTTTAGGGAGAAAGTGAGAATGGGCAAGACCCAAGGTTAGCAGAGTGTACAGTGAGATTTATCTGAACTGTTATAAGAATGAGTGCATAATCATTACAACAATACTATAAACATTATTTGTTTTACTATATTTCAGTTTTAAATCATGGAGCAGGTTCTAGCTTTATGGATGACTAAGACAGGAAATTGCATGGAACTCAGCCTGGAGTATGTTAGGAACATTAGTCAGACACTTCTGGAGTGCGCCAGGTTGGATGAGGCTAGTCTAAACTATTGCACAAAGCAGTGTTGGAGCAACTATACCCTGCTGCTTTTTATAGTATCGTACAGTGGCCCAGTACTATAAGCGAATCCTGAGTCTGCTGAAGAAACCCTCTTGATTGAAAATGGTCCAGGGAACAGTCTCTTCAGGGAAGTGGCTTAGCTGCATCCTTGTATAAAATAGGCATCTCAAATGAAAATATAAAGGTAGTATTTATAGATGTAAAATATTTTATTTGTAAATGCTGATCTTCTAAATCTGTTTCCACAAATTTCAAAGCCCATAACACTCTGTATACTTCAAAAATTCATTTTTTGCCAACATTAGATAACTATTTTACAGAACAGAAAAAAACCTGTAAGACAAATACTGGTAGGATGTTGGAATATTGTACAAGAGAAGAAAAATATTCAAGAAACAAATTTCATACAGCTATTTATCAAGAGAAAAATATATACAATTGATTTATTCTGTAAGATAAAAATACATCATGCCATATACATTACAAGTTCAGAACTGTATCACTGAATATACCAACAGTTTTACAGTCCACTTTAGCTGTGCACACAAAAAAACTTCATTTTTCTTTTAATATTTAGACTGTGAAGTGTCAGTACCAGAATTTAAAGTACAAAATAAAAAACTAACCTGGTTCAAAATGTTGATTAGGTTTCTACAAGCAAACACAAACAGTGTTTATTTTTTTTAAAGAAATGTAAACAAAACAATCAATACAAACACATTTTTAAATTACATTTTCCAAAACCCTATTGCCAGAGTCCTGCAGCTGAAAGCACAATTACATCTAATTTTTTCCTTGTTTTTACTTATAAGAAGGCAGCTATTGTATTAGACTTACGCTCTCACTACACGTTTCTATGTTCATTACATGATTTTAGTGTAAGCTGAACAGTTCATATAATCTCCGCTACTTTTGCTGGAAAAGAAAATCAATGTTCAGCTTCTGTTTTGGGTGGTTTTAGCAATTATTCACAGTTATCACAAATTCTAAGCACAAAAAACCTGATTTAAGAAATAGGGATGTAACAATATAATGCAAATAAAGTAAGCCAGTCTAAACTTCCTCAGACATCTACAAAAGTCATAGTTGTAATATACATGCCCTCTACCAGTCTTAAGGGTTACTTAAAAAAGTTATTAATCGAGCACAATTGGGCCTGCTTTAAAGATTAAAAAAATAAAGTAAAACCTCTCTTAAATTGAGATTTTGGTTATTCCATAAGCAATTGTAATGGCATGTTTAATAATACAAGAGATCATATTGTAACATCCCTATCAAAGTTTAATAATAAGCACCCGAACTGCTGCAGAGTCTGGTAGCATTTGGTCAATTACTATTTTTTATACTGTACTTTTTCTCAAAATATTTACATTTTTGTACAAAGTAACAGGGTTTGTTAGTTCTGCAGGTAACAGCAGCAGCTTGGCTTCTAACTTTTCCTTTTAAAAATAGCTTCATTCACTTATTTCAATAATAAATACAAAAAGTTTCTCTTATTTTACAGAAATCAAAAACTACAATAAACTGACTCATGGAATCAAGTATTTTAAATGTATTTTAGTGCAAGTTATTTTTCCCTTAGCTCTATCCCTAAGGAAGTCATTTCAGTACATTCCTTGTTCAGTGGTGTCTACTTTTATTTTTTCTGTATTTTAGAGGGCCTGCCCCTTTAATAAGTAAGGCTGTGGCCAGCACTTTGGACGTCTCCCTTTCGCTGGTGATTTCAGTCTACATTCATTGATGCCCCACTGCCCTTTGGCAGGTCAGCCACAGCTTCTCTGCCCAAGTTCAACGATTTCTCCTTAGTGAGTTCATTAAATCAAAAGTGCTGGACCGGTCTGGAGATCAGTTTCACCTCTGTGTGCCTGGGAAGTCAGGCAACAATTCTCTTGTTCTGCCAACTTGCTTCTGGCTGCTTGCTTTACACTGGAGAAGAATATACACCTCACCGAAGTGACTGCTTTCACGTACCCCCACCCCCACCCTGCAGATCAATAAACTCCAAATCACTTCTTCCTTAGGACAAGCAACCCTCGGAAACAGCAAGGAATGCATCTAATTCATCCATTTTCGGCAGTTTACAGCTCCACAGTGACATGGAATCTTGTGCTGGTCATCTTCAAAATCAAACTTATAGTCGTAACAGAGCTGGAAGAAAACAATTGCCTGTAAGGTCTGGTGCTTGCAAACGAAGATTTCTTGCTGGCCTCCATGCATAAAGTAACACATTCGCTAAAGCACATGCTCTTGGACTTTAAACAGCTGACCTCAATTATGACTGAAAAAGCACCTTTTCCCTCCATGAAACACACCTTGGCCCTTTTCAGTCAATGCAGCTGTCTGTCGCAAGTCATTCTGTAACTCAGTATGAGTGGTCAATAAACAAACTGGAACTGTGTTGTGGACTCTAGCAATTAAGGGCCGGTTCACCACTACTTTATTTACTGATAGAAGTGGGAGAAGTACTCCCTGAACTAGGTCAGTAGCAAGATTTTTGTATCTTACCCATACAAGAGCGAGTCTGAATCACATAGGCAGACTGAGCTGCTAGAATCTTCATATGGAAACGTGTCCCTGAGCTGTTTGAAATGCCCAATTGAACAAGAACTGTACAGTGTTACTATGTGAATTTGAATTAGTTCCAGCAGAATGATTCCAGAATGACATGATTTCTTAAGTCATTTTTCCAATATTAGTTTTAAGTTTCAGAATAAAAATAAGGAAGATTTTTGTTACATTACTGCCATTAACATCTATACCCAAGCAAGCCACTGTGACTTCAGTGGGGCTTACTCTCAAGGAAGGTTGGTATAGGATTACAGCCTCAGTAACAGAAACAGAACTGGCAGTTGTTCTGGTACAGAGAAACTTTCATGCAGCCATTCTTTAACGGGTCATCTAAATGCTGAGATGCACATGCAATTGTGTTGCTCAGTCAACAGTAAAATCACTTCTCAATACTGTTCTAAAGAAAAGTGATCGAATTAACCCAAGTAATTAGGCATTCCGGAAAATTATACTCTACAAACGAAGATTTAAGCCATACAAACCCTACCTCTTCCCCCTTTTGGATCCGCCTGCTTGAACTGATGATGATTTTATGTCCCCTTTCAAAGGTTACTACTTCAGCTACACAGTTCGGTGCACAGGAATGGTTAATATACCTGTAGGAAAAAGAGCAGGGCAACAGGTATATGTTTTTAAAACATGGAAGATACTGATTTTAGGGTAAAATTTAAGTTCAGCCTCTAACCTCTGTTCAGGAGAAAATAAAGTTCAAAGAAGTACTACATTTCCTACAGCTACAACATCTGGTATGAAAACACAAATGAAGGCTATTGTGAGTTAATAAGATTTCTTTATAATTCACTGAGAGCATGAAGTCTGAATAGACTAACTTAGAAAATTAAGGGGATTATAGAGAAAAGCTTCAAGTGGAGCCTCTCAAGATACAGTCATAGTAATGTCTAAAAAATGAGGTCACCATGCCCTGTAGAAGCGCTCACCTTGCAGGACCACCTGTCAGTGTAGCATCGATGACATGATCATTGTCAATGCGAAACATGTACACTCCGCGATTCTGGGGGGGGGGGGGGGGGGAGGGAAGTGGAGAGGAAAAAAAGCTGTGAAATTTGTACAAGGAGTGCAGGTCAATTGTTTAAACAAAGGAATGCTGTACAATAGCACCAAGTGCTCTCTGGATTAGTAATTGTGTACTTAACATGGGAAGCAGAGCAATTTGATGCTCAAAGGAATGACACAATTCTGAGTGTCTCACATGCAATCTATCACTCAACAATATTCAGGTGCACACAGCTCACACATCAGCATTCACATCTGCAATAGTTTGTTTTCTCTGGAGGAAAGACAGCACTTCTGCTACGTCATATGAATGCTTGAAACAGAAGTCGCATGGCCTTTTGCTGTACCTGAGATTCATAAAGCTTCTCTTTCCTGTTGGCTACCTCATTGCGAATGATGGTTCCAATATATTCAATGACCATGGTGTGCTTTTCAATGTCTCTAGCAGCATATAAGCCCAGGCCCTAGGAAATAATGGATGATTTAGGAACATCCTACATACCAGAGTGCACAAAATTACATGACAAAGCTAATGCTGTTTAACAAACTTGCAGCACCATGTCGCTCACTCAGAAATGTCTCACTATGATCAACTGGCCTTATTCTCTTTTGCGCATGATTAGGATTAAAGGCTAAATTGACAAGGCA